CTGGGACCCGAGCAAGGTCACCTCGTTCAACAGGCGACAACATTTGTCCCTGGAAAACTATACTGGACATTCTGTACAATTTGTATGGATGTGGCAGTGATTTCTGTAACAGGGAGATGGAAGAAGATGCTTGGTCGGTCCTCTTAATTCAAATTTGGGGCACTGCGTGGTCAAGCTAATGTGCCACCAGATAGGAGTGGTGTGTTTAGTATTTTTTTGATCAGTTTAATACCTTCCGCGTCTCCTATCAGTGGACGTGTATATGGCAGCCATTTTAGGAACCGTACACCTGGGACCCGAGCAAGGTCACCTCGTTCAACAGGCGACAAAATTTGTCCCTGGAAAACTATCCTGGACATTCTGTACAATTTGTGTGGATATGGCAGTGATTTCTGTAACAGGGAGATGGAAGAAGATGCTTGGTCGGTCCTCTTAATTCAAATTTGGGGCACTGCGCGGTCAAACTAATGTGCCACCAGATAGGAGTGGTGTGTTTAGTATTGTTCTGATCAGTTTAATACCTTCCGCGTCTCCTATCAGTGGTCGTGTACACGGCATTGATTTTTGTAACAGGGAGATGGAAGAAGAGGCTTGGTCGGTCCCTCTTACTGCAAATTTGGGGCACTCTTGGCGGTCAAAGCTAATGTACCACCAGATAGGAGTGGTGTGTTTAGTACTATTTTTATCAGTTTAATACCTTCCACGTCTCCTATCAGTGGACGTGTACACGGCATTGATTTTTGTAACGGGAGATGGAAGAAGAGGCTTGGTCGGTCCTCTTACTGCAAATTTGGGGCACTGCGCGGTCAAGCTAATGTGACACCAGATAGGAGTGGTGTGTTTAGTACTATTTTTATCAGTTTAATACCTTCCGGCTCTCCTATCAGTGGTGGAGTGTTACGGCATTGATTTTGTAACAGGGAGATGGAAGAAGAGCTTGAGGTGAGTTACTCTTACTGCAAATTTGGGGGCACTCTTGGCGGTCAAGCTAATGTGACACCAGATAGAACTGGTGTGTTTTAGTACTATTTTTATCAGTTTAATACCTTCACGCGTCTCCTATCGGTGAGTGCAATTGGCCTACGACGGTAATTTCTGTAACAGGCAGATGGAAGAAGATGCTTGGTTGGTCCTCCTAACTGGAGACTGTGTTGCTGTACGGGTGGCAGGTGGAGCCATTTAGAAAGTACACACTGCTTTAAAAAGCCATTTATAAAGTACACACTGGCGGCTTGAACCCTAGTTGGTGGCGGATAAGTCACGCAAGTCAACAGGCATTCAGAGCTAAAATACAGCAGCGTGTGGACCATTTTTAGCCCAAGGCGGCTCATCTCATCAGGCCTTTTTTACATAGGGTCACTTGGCAGATATGGATTGACACCTGTCCTAGGGATCCCTGATACACACTGACACAGATCAGAATAGGGACTGTTCCTCTACATGAGGGTCACATGGCAGATATGGATTGACACCTGTCCTCAAGAACTGATACACACTGACACAGATCCAGAATAGGGGAATGTTACCCCAACATAGGGTCACTTGGCAGATATGGATTGACACCTGTCCTAAGGATCCATGATACACACTGACACAGATCAGAATAGGAATGTTACTAACATAGGGTCGCAGCAGATATGGATTGACACCTGTCCTAAGGATCCCTAGTACACACTGACACAGAGCAGAATAGGGGGAATGTTACCCCAACGCCTTGTAGGGTCACTTGGCAGATATGGTTGACACCTGTCCCTGGGATCCATGATACACACTGACACAGAGCAGAATAGAGACTGTTCCCCCTACATAGGGTCCTTGGCAGATATGGATTGACACCTGTCCTAAAGATCCCTGATACACACTGATACACACCTACTTGGATGGTATAGACATTTTTAGCTGCTCCTGGCCCGAACACCTGACCCACATAGGAGCCGTAATAGACCGGATTAGGGAGTCCGGACTGACCCTAAAGCCAGTAAGTGCCATATAGGAACGTGTAAAAACCTCCCCAAGATAGTAGTATGGGCCCCAGAATGTGAACAGGCCTTCCAACAGCTCAAGACGGCGCTCATTAAATCACTTGTACTTTCTTCTCCTGATCCAACTAAACACTTTCTCGTCCATACAGACGCTTCTATGCTTGGATTGGGAGCAGTATTGAGCCAAGTCGGAGCAGATGGTGGCTAGCAACCCGGGGCTTATCTAAGCCGTAAACTTTTACACAGCGAAGTATATTCACTGCCATTGAAAAGGAGTGCATAGCGGTGGTGTGGGCCCTCAAAAAGCTGCAACCTACTTGTATGGACAACCGTTTACCTTACTCACAGATCACAACAAATTTGGGCACTGCGCGTGCAATCTAATGTGCCACCAGATAGGAGTGGTGTGTTTGGTACTGTGTTATCAGTTTAATCACTGTGCGTATCCGTTGATGTGGAGCAAGGCAGCAGCAGAAAGAAGAGGACTAGGCGAGGAGGTTATGGAAGAGGGATGGAGTAGGAGGGAGTAGAGGAGGTGGCAGCGTACTGGCAAGAGTACGCTGTAGGGCTGACACACCTGCTTGAAGAATAACTTAACTTTGCTATTCAATCTATAACAGTGAAAAAATTTTTGTTTTAAATCAAACTATTGTGACACCAGTGAGTGAAATTGGTGTGTTTAGTACTTATTGTTATCAGTTTAATCACTGTTACGCCCCCTATCCGTTGATGTGGAGCAAGACGCAGCAGCAGAAGAGGACTAAGCCGAGGAGGTTATGGAAGAGGATGGAGTAGGAGGAGTAGAGGGGGTGGCAGCGTACTGGCAGAGTACACGCTGTAGGGCTGACACACCCGCTTTGAGACAACTAACTGCTATTCAATCTATAACTGATGTTTGTTTCACAGGCAGAAAGTGCCCTAAAGATGGCGGCTTGAACCCAAGTTGGTGGCGGATCAGTCACGCAAGTCAACAGGCATTCAGAGCTAAAATACAGCAGCGTGTGGACCATTTTTAGCCCAAGGCAGCTCATCTCATCAGGCCTTTTTTAATCTAATGTATCGCCCAGTGTCAGTCCCTTAGGGATCCATCCCTCATTCATCTTAATAAAGGTGAGGTAATCTAGACTTTTTTGACCTAGGCGACTTCTCTTCTCAGTGATAATACCTCCTGCTGCACTGAAGGTCCTTTCTGACAGGACACTTGAAGCGGGGCAGGCCAGAAGTTCTATCGCAAATTGGGATAGCTCAGGCCACAGGTCAAGCCTGCACACCCAGTAGTCAAGGGGTTCATCGCTCCTCAGAGTGTCGATATCTGCAGTTAAGGCGAGGTAGTCTGCTACCTGTCGATCGAGTCGTTCTCTGAGGGTGGACCCCGAAGGGCTGTGGCGATGCGTAGGACTTAAAAAGGTCTGCATGTCCTCCATCAACAACACGTCTTTAACACGTCCTTGCCGGCGTGGTCATGGGAGGAGGATAACTTCCACCTCTCCCCCTGTTAGATTCCCGTTGTGCTGTGACATCACCCTTATACGCTGTGTAAAGCATACTTTTCAATTTATTTTGCAAATGCTGCATCCTTTCATACTTGTTGTAATTCGGTAACATTTCTGCCACTTTCTGCTTATACCGAGGGTCTAGTAGCGTGGACACCCAGTACAGGTCGTTCTCCTTCAACCTTTTTATACGAGGGTCCCTCAACAGGCACGACAGCATGAAAGACCCCATTTGCACAAGGTTGGATGCCGAGCTACTCATTTCCCGTTCCTCCTCCTCACTGATGTCAATGAAGGTATTTTCTTCCCCCCAGCCACGTACAACACCACAGGTACCAGATAGGTGACAACGAGCACCCTCGGATGCCTGTTGTGGTTGGTCTTGCTCCTCCTCTTCCTCCTCCTCAAAGCCACATTCCTCCTCTGACTCCTCTTCCTCACAATCCTCTTCCAGCGTTGCCGCAGGTCCAGCAAGCGATGCTGATAAAGCTGGTTCTCGTGGTGATGGTGACCACAACTCTTCCTCTTCCTCTTCCCGCTCATCTACGGCCTGATCCAGCACTCTTCGCAGGGCACGCTCCAGGAAGAAAACAAATGGTATGATGTCGCTGATGGTGCGACTGACTAAATTTGTCACCTCCTCAAAAGGACGCATGAGCCTACAGGCATTGCGCATGAGCGTCCAGTAACGTGGCAAAAAATTCCCAGCTCCCCAGAGGCTGTCCTAGCACCCCGGTCATACAAATACTCGTTAACGGCTTTTTCTTGTTGGAGCAGACGGTCGAACATTAGGAGTGTTGAATTCCAACGTGTCGGGCTATCGCAAATCAAGCGCCTCACTGGCATGTTTTTTCGCCACTGGATATCTGAAAAGTGCGCCATGGCCGTGTAGGAATGCCTGAAATGGCCACACACCTTCCTGGCCTGCTTCAGGACGTCCTGTAAGCCTGTGTACTTATGCACAAAGCGTTGTACGATCAGATTACACACATGTGCCATGCACGGCACATGTGACAACTTGCCCAACTTCAATGCCGCTAACAAATTTGTTCGTTGTCACAAACCACTTTGCCGATATCCAGTCGCTGCGGAGTCAGCCACTTTTCCACCTGTGCATTCAGGGCGGACAGGAGTGCTTGTCCGGTGTGACTCTCTGCTTTCAAGCAAGTCAAACCCAAGACGGCGTGACACTGCCGTATCCGGGATGTGGAATAGTACCTGGGGAGCTGGGGGGTGCGTTGATGTGGAGCAAGACGCAGCAGCAGAAGAGGACTCAGCCTAGGAGGTTATGGAAGAGGATGGAGTAGGAGGAGTAGAGGAGGTGGCAGAAGGACTGCCTGCAAGTCGTGGCGGTGTCACCAACTCCTCTGCAGAGCCATGCATTCCATGCTTGGCAGCAGTCAGCAGGTTTACCCAATGCGCAGT